GCGGTTCTGAGCTGTGGCGTCACACACACATAAAATTCTTACTCCAGAACTTAAGGCCCGTGAACCTTGATCAATTTAACTTTCGCAAGCTTTTTGTTCTTCATCTTTAAACATTCTAATTGACCCAAAACAACTGTCTGGAGGGCTGAATTCAAGGGGGTCTCTGATGAGGCATTTAATAATGTGTATTTAATAAATGTGTATTTTGAATTGTTTTTCCCTTTAGATTTCTTCCCAGATGCCGAGCTTTCTTGGCCTAGGGAACATAACCCCACAGGGTATAAATCTGGTGTGGGAGCTCAGCATGAATCTGTAGTCTAACTTCTGAAATGCACATGTGAAGCCTTATAAAAGTAAATTTAGTGCCCAAAGGAATGCTCGTCATTAAATAAGTTCATTAATTAAATTCGATGCATAAACTTGTTCACTAAATTGTGACCAAGCAGTGGTGTCAGCTAAATAAGCCACAAAGAATGCTTTAGATACACCGGGAGAATGACAAACATTTATTGGGTTAGCTCTAGCTCAGGCCCTGAAATGTTTTTTTTTTTTTTTCTCTCTCTCTGCTGAAAACCAAGGGACGGCACTTTGCTTTAAATATCGGAGTCTCAAAATGCTCTTAATAGGCATCTTTCTTTCTTCCAGGTAAACCTTAAGGAGAACTGCCACAAGATGGGGCGGAGGTGGGTGTACGGTGGGTGATGTGGTAAGTTTAGAATACAGGTGGTCGTTGCAGTTCGTCTCTACCACGTCCTCCCCATTTCTGCATAAAAATGTGTCTCATTTTCACTTGGTTAGTTGTAGATAGTAAAGCTTGCTCGTCTAGTGTTGGAGCTCATCTTGAGTCTCTATTCTAACTTCAGAAATGCTGATCAGAAAAGCACATTTGAGGCCTTATCAATGTAAATTTAGTGCCTCGAGGGATGCTCTTGTCATACAAATAAGTTCATTATTTTCATAGATCGGCTTAACGGACGCTGCTCTGTGCTCAGTGGACTAGCAAGAGTCCATTATCTTACCTTCTATTTTCTTTAATTGCGGCCAAATCACCTTCCAAATCCCCGCCCTTCTTGAGGTAGCTAAGTTTGCAAGAGGGCTCTGTTTTCTGCAAAACAGGTTGAATGCATTTCCTTTTCATGTGTTTAGGCTAATGACCTCCAGTGTCATGTAGAGCAAAGAAATTGTCTAGCCCCCAGTCAATTGAACCGTTTGTTTTGAAAGAGAAAAGACGAATTCCAGGAGAATCAAGGAAAGCCAGCTGAAGATCCTCCAGGGAACAAAACTGTTTTGCCTTGTTTAGGTGGTGGGTGAACTGTTCTCCAGGTAACGCAGGGTTTGAAAATGATTTTATTATGGACAGAGGCTTTCCCTTAAATTCAATTTGTCGACACATTTTTTTTTTTTTAAACTAACTTAAATTTCTTCTGGTAGAAATTACTTAGACCTATGACCCAGAAAACTGGAGTTTTGGAGATCTTTACACAAGAATTGAACTCCTGGCCCATAATCAACACAGAATGTGCTGCGATAGATTACTCCCGGGCTAAAGTCAAATCTGAAACTCAACAGAAGTATGTCACTTTTGAATCCCCTACTATTATCCAGTAGATGAAGAAACCAAAGGTACTGGGGCTCAAAATAAATAAATAAATAAATAAATAAATAAATAAATAAATAAATAAATAAAAAAATAAATAAATACATACTCTTCAGGTGGAATGTAGCTCTAAGCAGTTATCAATTCTTCACTGTCAAGGGGGCTGAAACACAACGGGAAAGGGTCTTGATAATCTACACATATCCTATAGGTTATTGGGAGAATAAGGATATAACCTATGGCATCTGCCTTCTTTTGGGAATATGTTACGGGCCACGTCCAGATTCATTAGTGTTCAATAGGAGCTGTTTCTTGTCCTGAAAGGGAATGAATCTGAAAACCCTCTCTAGATCGTTCTTCGTTGGTATTAAATTACCCTTTAGGCTCAATAAGCCATTTGTAAGTCTCTGCAAGAAAGCTTTCACCTTCTTTGACCCGCCAGAGGTCTAGGTTTGAATTAAGTGGGTAATGCTCCACCTGCTTTTTAACCACTACATCTCCTTGCCAGAATGTTTCCATTCATCCCCAGCCAACACCCATCATCCACGGCCTGGCAGCAAACCCTTTCACCTCTCCACACCCGTATTTCTGCCTCCCCAGTCCTTTGGCTGCCCTTTGGGGTTTGCATACTTGTTTAACTGGTCCCCAGCAGCCAAGTAGAGATCTTAGTTTCCATAGATGTGGCTATACAAATTAAGAGTGGGAGGCGATACAAAAACAAATGGCTCTTAATTTATAATGAGAATGCTTCATTTTTTTTTTTCTCTCTTTCTAAATACAGATTATAGATGGGCTTTCAATAAAGAGCGGGCTCGAGAAAACAACTAATTACGGCTGAGGTTAGCAAGGCTATGACAACAGTTAAGGCACAGATCCCAGCTATCATCACAGGGAACACCCCACGGTAGGGAAAGCTTAAGAACAGTTATCTTTGCGATCTGTGCACCGCTAAGATTCAAGCTTCCAAGGGCGGCCGGCACACAGTAGGTGTCCGAGAACACCGAAAGGCTGAGAATAACTCAATCCTGAGAAATCTGTGGCACAAATAAAACGAGTCATTGCTCAGTCTTCCCAAAGGCAGCACCATTGTTCATCCCTCAACACCCCGCCTTTCCCATTGTTTTGGGCGTTCTGATTCTTTCACATGTGCACGAGACTGTGGAGATTCACAAGCACACCATCAACCCTGAAATCGGAGACTTCAGCGTGATTCCAGGCAAGTTGCCTCGGGCTCCTGCTTTTAAATGAACCCCAGCTCCTAACGGGTTCAGTGTCTGTGCAGCGTTCTTTCCCGCCTTCTTGGAGTTGAGGCGAGGGATTGAACAATCGGCCTTCTCTCGCCCTTCCCTCAATCCCTCGAAGTTTTTCTCTCCTTCCCTCGACTTCCTTTCACAGGCCGTCGTTTCTCAAGGGTCTCTGCCCCGCTTCCTCCCTCTCTGCCTGCTCAGTCCCTTTGATCCTTTCTTTGGAGCCCCTATTCCCAGAAGCTGCAGAAAATACCTTCTTTTTCCCCCCTTTCACGTCACTTCCCTCCCCTCTCCCCTCTCCCTCTCTTCTCGGAGGTGAGTCCCCCCTCTAGAGGCCAGCGCCTTCTCAGCTCCGTCCTTTCGCGACGGCGAGCGGGATTCAGAGGGAAAGAAGGGGGGAAGGAAGGAGGAGGAAGAGGACCCGGGCCGGGGAGGAGGAAACAAAAACCGAACCCTTCCCCAAAAAAAACCACCCCCACACTCGGGCCTACAGCGCGGAGGCCCAGGAGCGGCATCGCCATGGCAACGGGCGCCGGCAGGAAGCGAGGGACGCGCGCGAGGGCGGGCGCGGGGAGGGGGCGGGCCGGGGGAGGGGTCGGCTGCCCCGGAAGCACCTCCCCGCAGCCCCCTCCCCGCCGGCCCGCGGCCCCCCGCCCCCCGGCCTCGGCCCCCACCCTCGCGGCGGCGGGGCAGGAAGTGCCCGGCCCGCGCGAGCCCCC